ATGTATGTATGTATGTATGTATGTATGTATGTATGTATGTATGTATGTATGTATGTGTGTATGTATGTAGCCCATATTTCAAAGTGCACTGTACAGCACAGATATGCTTCAGATCTCCTAGGAGCCATAGCTTCTTTTGAGAAACGCATGTTCCGTTGATACTACTTATGAGCCAGCACTTCTGTTGCACGAAAATCGATGTTTGGCAATTGGAAATAATTTTACTCGGCCGAGACTTGGAACAAGACAGCGAAAATAAATATAGAAATGCCGATCGAACAGAAAGTGAGTTAAAGATGTGGTTTGCAATCAATTGAACTTTTTCGGGCCGAAGGTGCTGTGTTGACAAAAACGTCAGCTCGCCTCGCAACGTCTCGACCAGTTCCAGTTCTGTTCGATGCTGCTTGAACACCGAGGCAGCTTCTACTGCTTTCTTCACTGCCCGAGGTTGCTGCTACCTCACCGACCTCACCGACAAGCGACTAGAGACTATTGTCAACTTGTTCAACATCGCCGGACGCCGCTAGGCAGCCGATCGATGCACAGCTGGAGCATATTCTCGTCAGCCGCCGATTCGGCGGCAGTTTCAGTCGTCTGTCGTCTGTCAGTCTGTCGCGTCCGGCAGTGTACATTTGAACAGCGGTCGGTCATGCACCGACGAGTGAACCTAAATATTACGAGTTGAGGTACGACTGTCATAAAGCAACGTGATTTGACTCGCTTTAAAACAGACAAAGTCAGAACTGCCTGCGGATCAGTGAGTCGTTGACCGCTGTCGTCCCTCCGTTCGCGTTACTCAACCCGCGAGGTATGTTTTAATCTGTCGCAGGGGCGAGTGAGTGGCGTCGGTGTTGCGAGTGATCATGGGTCTCGAGTTCATGGCCGTGCAGCAAAGGGCGGCCGACATCCTTCGTCAGGGCATATACTTGCAGCGAAACAAGCTACGAAGCCTCCTGGCGCTTTCGCTGTTTACGGTTTACCTCATCGTGGGCGCATCGATTTACTCCGCCATTGAAACGCCCGACGAGCAGCGCTACTTGGACCGCATGAGGAAGTATTTGGATCAGTTCACCGAGGAACACAAGCAGTGTTTATCAGGTCAGTGCTTACTGCTTTCTGTATGCTGCGTTTGCGTGAAGAATGA